ATAAAAAAAAAATAAAGTATGTAAGAGGGGCCAGGGAGATAGCTCAGTAGAATAAGCGTTTGCCAGGCAGGGCCTGAATTCAATCTCCCCTCCCACCCCCACTCCCCCAAAAAAGTATGTAAGAGTTAGAAGGCTAGATATGATGGGCATTTCTATGATCCCAGCACTTGGGAGGATGAACCATTTGGGTACATGATTATGGTTCAGAACTGGTGGGCATTTCTGGGCAGTCTTGCTAGATAATTTCATGAGAAATGGGTAAACACTTTTTTTTTTTTTTTTTTTTTTCTCTCAGAACGGGGGATTGAACTCAGGCCCTTGTGCTTGCCAGGGAAGCGCTTATTCCCCTGAGCCATCTCCCCGGCCCCAGGATGAACCATTTGGATCATGAGTCTGTGCTACATAGCAAATTTAAGGCTTGTATGAATTACCTAGCAAAACCCTGTCTTAGCTGGGCAACTTGGGCACCCCTTGTAATATCAGCACTTGGGAGGCTGAAGCAAAAAGATTGCTGAGTTTGAAACCAGCCTGAGTACATGGTGAATTCAAAGCCAGGCTGATCTACATTGCAAGACCCTATCTCACCCTCACCAATCCTGTCATAAGTTACCCTAACTTAAGAAAAAAATCGATCCCCCAAAGCACCAGTTTTCTATCTTAAATGCTAGACTACACATTGAACCTAAGGGTCAGCTCTCTATTTAGGAATTAGATGGCACATGAAGTAGAATTAAATTAGCCATACCTTGTAAATTATATGAAAGTGCATCATGTGCTTTTGAATGTAGATGAGTGGCAAATCTTTTTTTCTTTCTCTTTTTTGTGTGTGTATTTTTAGGGAAGGGTCTACAGGGTGTTCAGGGTCTCACTACTAGATCAGACTCATAGTGATCTGCCTGTTTACAACCTCCCAAGAGCTGGGATTACAGGCGCGTGACACCATGCCCAGTCTAAATAGTGAATCTTGTTTAGTAGGTTCAGTTACATGAAGATATAAATAGAAGAGTTCTAGAACAACTTTTATCTTAAGTATTAATAGGAAGTAGCAGTAAACTTACTGTACTTCAGATCTCTTTCATTAATTTTTAATATTTATTTATTCAGTACAGGGTCTTGCTATGCAGCTAGGACTCGTGATCTTTCTTCCCGACTCCTTAGCCCTGGGATTATAGGCATGCACCATCACGCCCAGTTGCATGGCATGCCTAGGGTTCCAGGGCCAAACAACAGGGAGTCATACATGGGTCCTTGGGCTTGTCAGGCAAGCGCTTAGACTGCCAAGCTATTTCCCCATCTCCCTAGCCCTGTACCTCAAATCTCGAGCTTAATTTTTTTTTTTTTTTAATTTTTTAAAATTTTTTTGTGGTACCGGGGATCAAACTCCGGACCTTATGCTTGCTGAACTATATCCCCAGCCTCTGAGCTTAATCTTTTTTTTTTTTTTTTGCGGAACTGGGGATTGAACTCAGACCCTTGTGCTTGCTAGGAAAGCACTTATTCCACTGAGCCATCTCCCCGGCCTTTATTTATTTGTGTGTGTGGCCTGCTCAGCCCACCTGGGGGTGGGGCTGGCTGGCATATGGTGCTGGGGGATCGAACCGCGGTCCCTGTGCTTTGCCAAGCTTGTTTTAGACCACTGAGCCATCTCACCAGCCCCCCCTCCCCTTTTTTTAATATTTTAAAAATCTTTCCTTATTTGGTACAGTGTCTTGCTACACAGCTTGGACTCCTAGTGATCCTCGTGTTTCAGCTTCCTCAGCACTAGGATCTCTGGTGTATGCCACCATACCTGGTTTTCTGCGGCCAGCATGGTGCTCTTGGGATTCTAGGACTGGCACGGCATGTACCAGGGATCAAGCCCAGGTCCTTGAACTTGCCAGGCAGACACTTACCATTCAGAACTCTCTCTCTAGCCCTCAAGCTTAATCTTGAACATATTTTCTTTATTTATTTATTTATTTATTTATTTTTTAATTTATTACATTTATTTATTGTGT